ACATTTATTAAAAGATTGTTTAAAGTTAGAACCAAATTAATATATATAAGCGTTGAAGATTAAATTTTATGAATAAATGATATACAAGTATATTATAATGTCTCGTTTATTTATTTATATTTTTAGACAACGATTTCATTTATTAATTTGTATTTTTTTTAAATTTAATTACTGATATATCAGATAAATATCTATATATAGTTTCAATAATCTTCTTTTCCATAAAAAAGAATTATTTAAAACAGAATAAGGGTTGGTTTATTTTACCTGAAGACAATTCTATAGTCAAGAAAGAATTCAAACAAGTCGATAGAAAACTGAGTTTACATGACCAGAACAAAATAAGTTAGGCTACTCTAAGGCACAGTAGGACCGAATCAAACCAATTATTTTGATGTTGAATTCCTTTGGTCAAATTAGGGTTTTGATCTCTCTACTATGTTTAAATTTGAGATTTAGACAATTTATTTTAGTTTATCGTAATTTGATCCCTCTACTTTTATAAACTCGTTAACCATCTCTGTTAAAATGTTGACATTGATTTTTTTTTTTATAAAAAGGAAAAGGAAAAGGAAAAATCACTTCCAATTCATCACGTTGACATTATTTTTTTGTGTGTGTGTTGGAACTTGGAAGTGGGTTTTTTAAATAAAAAATTCTAACCTTTCAAAATGGTCAGATAAAGTTCTAACAGTTTTTAATTTGTTCAAATAAATTTCAAAATGTTTCCAGAAACAATTTGTCTCTTTATTATTTGAGAATATTGAAGAATGTTAGGACCTTATTCGAGCAAATTCAAAAAAGTAGAGGACCAAATCATGGAAAATCCAATTTGGGCATAGTACAGGGACCAAAACAACAATTTCATTGCCTTGTTTAGTCATGTATTAGTTTGTTTATTTCTTTAAAATGATATCTTATGTGAAATGGACTTGTTGGTTATTATGATGATAACTTGTCTTGTGAAATAAATAAATAAATATTAAATAATTAACTTTTATTTTCACTTTTTTGAAAATCTTTAGATCGAATCTTCCTATTTTGAAAATTTCAGCAATCAAAACTTAGCTTTTGAATTAGCAAATTCCTTTGGGAGGCAACTTTACTTTTACCTTAAATGTGAACAAAGGGTGCCCAATTTAAGGGCTAAACTTTATTTATTTATTTTTTATATTCAATTATATTCAATCTATTGATTGATTAATCTATATCAGGTATTGTAGATGTTTATTATAAGAGATGATCATCTAAATCCAATTTAATTAATTCATAACACAGAAATCCGAACCTTTAATATTACTTTTAAAAAATACAATTGATCTATTAACGAAGAATTAATTTATTATATATTTAATTTATGATATATTTGGAAAGTCACATAATAATTTGTAGGTTTATTGGATTGAGTGTAATTAAAATGTTCTTGTGGTTGGTCCCCAATAAGTAACTAGGATGATTTAAACCTTTGTGATTTTAATTGCGTAATTAATACACTAATTTAAACTACTTTGTAGTGTCTAAACACACATTTAATTCAATGATTTTCTATAAAGGCAACACTCGGTACTGACAGAACGGGATCGTATTTGTCAGAAATATGAGCGTATTCTACCAAATGGTTGAGAGCCTTTGAACATATATTACCTTTTATATACACCCCAAATTTATAAAATAATAATAATAATAATCTTTAAATATAATATATTTTCAATTTATTCAAGAATATTTTTTATTCATACGATTCCTTAATCTGAATATTTTTTTAATTTAAATAATGTGAAACTTTAAAATTATGACACCACTTCATTAAGATACCAAAAACCCAAGTTAATGGGCTGATGGGAATCCAAAACCGTTAGGGACCAAATTGAAAAGCCATCAAATTCAAAGATTTAAAAGTTGAATTATTAATTTTTCCGAGCACTGCAGAAATGTCGGCGAGTTAAGTTTGACGACTACGTTATAATTTTCCAAATCTTGGAACCCAAGCTTCCGTGTAATAACGAAGAAAAGCTACAACCTCAAATTGTTTATCACTGTACGAGTCATCGACCAAATATTAAGAACTTAATTTGTATTTTGTACCGAATTATAATTTTCATATCCAATTCTGGACACTGCCATGAATTTCCAACTTTGTTGGCTGTATTCATCATGTTCAAGATTCACACCGACTTTGTACCAAATTTAATTTAATTTTATCTATTTCGGCACTGCCATGAATCCCCACCGTCTTGGCCTTATGCATCACGTTCAATAATCACATTATTCCATTTCAGTCCCACTTGATTAGTGATTTGTATGTTCTGCTTTTAGTCTTCTTTGAGATTTATGGCCTTGGAGTTCGGGGAGACGGTTTATTTTATAGAAAATTTAATCTTCTTTTTATCTATCTTCAATTTAGGATTTAATTTTATATTTTTCATTTTTTTAATTTAACACCTAAGGCGATCACGAGACTTGGATCCAATCATATATGGTTGAGTTCTTTTTTCAAGACTTCAGGGTCAAATAAGGTCGGGTCGAGTTTGAGTTTAGATTAAAAAATATCTGATCTAATTCTTTATACATTTAAAGCAATTAGGTCCCTATTTTACATAATAAAAACGTGAATATATATATATATATTTGGGTAAGGTTCGATGTAGATTTTTACCTAAAAAATTTGATAGTGAAACCTCCTTAAATCTGGGTGACGGGTAGAATATTTGGGTTGACCTAATACATGGTCTGACGTGACTCATGTCCATCCCTATTTGTACTCCCTAAATTTTTAATATAATTTTCTAAAAGTTGACATCTCTAGCATAAAATCTTACATCCGTTTTTGACATGTGGGTCAACTTAATTCAATTAAAAATAGGTTTAATTGATGAATTAATCCCTAAATCATACCATAATTCTCATTTAAACTTCGGGTACCATGTGTGAGTGTTAGCTTAATTATAAGAACTTTAGACGTTAATGGATTAAAGTTGAACCATGCGAAACACAAGTGCTTATATATTTAGATAGGTCAGCAATAATGCTATTATTAATCTCCAAATGGTAATTTTGCATGCTTTCATATTGCCCTCTGTTTGAATTTTGAAGGGTATTTGCCCTAAATACTTAGACATTAATGGCGCGGCTACTAGCTGCTAATTATAGATTGAACCATGTGCAACACAAGTGCTTATATACGGATTAATTTCACTAAAACGAGATATGAATGCAAGTGAACTATCTTTCTCGCATTCACGTGAATGGAAATTTTGCATGATTAATGCAAAAATATAATTTAAATAAAGTTCGTAATATTCTTCATTTGTAGGGTATGTTTCCCCACGACTTCAAGTTTGAATTTCATTGCTAAGTTAATACAAAAAGAATAATCAACGTTAGATTTTGTTACATTTATGATGATTATCGATGTAGTATTAAAGTTAAACATGTTTGATCATTAAAGAATGTATCTTTTAGTTATTTATTTAAAGAAAAAATTATATGATATAGATAATAAATTATATAGTTTATTTTAATATTAGGTGTACTATTTAAAGTTTTGGGATCTTGTGTATAAGATTTAGGGTTTAAACTCTAAATATTAGGGTGCGTTTGGTTCACGGAATGTAAGATTACCAGTGGGAATAAAAGATTACCAGGGAATAGGATTACTGGGAATATTGTATTTTGTGTTTGGTTGGTTTAGCAGGAATGTAAGATTACCGTGTTTGGTTAAAGAAATAAAAGATTATTGGAATGTATATTTGACCAAATTGTCCTTATTATATATTTGTATAATATTACAAATTGTAAAATATTTATATATTTTCTTTACAAAATTAAATTCATAATATTTATATAATTTTTTTTACAAAATTGAAAATATAAAAAGGTTTAATGAAAGGGTAATTTTTTTAACCCCTGAACTTCATATAAAATTTTAATTATAGATTTTTTTTGTAAATCTAAAATAATTTAAGGATAAATTTGTAATTTAACTTTCTTAGAATTTTTATTATTTAATGACAGAAGAATATTTTTGAAAGAAAAAAATAAAAAAAGTTAAGGGTATTTTAGTCCAAAACGCCGGTAATGTTACAATACCTAAGGGAATGGAGGTAATGACATTCCCAGTGATATACCCCAAAAAATCTACTATTGGTAATAAAACATTACCGGGAATGAGATTCCCGGCCAACCAAACATGGGAATCCCACAATCCTTAAACCAAACACCCCCTTAGGGTTCAAATAAGAAAAGTCGTTACATGTAATAGGTCCTAGATCTTCTAAGTAAGGTGAAGAGGTTGAATCTTACGAATGTAACAAATTTGATTGGAATGATCGTTATTATAATATATGATTTAAATTAATCGATAAATAGATTAGATAACATGATTAATATAATATGAAAGTGAGAAGAGATGGAGGAATGTTTCAATGTTTCCTTTTTGGTCTAATTAATTATAAATATCTTAATAACATGCAATGTTCCTCGGAGAGACTGTTTCAAAATGGATCCATTATATAAATATATATATTATATAGACATTAAACGTGTTTGAAGGATTATACTAATAAAATAGGAAGGAAAGCATGGAGTAGTCAAGCTCCCAAGGCCTTTTGCTTTCTAGTTTTCTTTTATTTTTGTGTTTACCGTAGAAAATTATAAAATTCTTAGCTTGGAAATCAAAATTTTCTCCAAATAAACAAATTTTAAACCTATATATACACGTATAGCTCTCAAGCAACTATCCAACAAAACTATATCACGTTCAATCCTGTTTGTTTTCAGTTTTTTTCTTCTTCTCGAAGGCAGGAATCATCATGCAGCAACGTTGTGTTTCATTAGCCAAGAACCTGAGCCGCAACATCCTTCGACCCAGATCGACGCCGCTGCCCCTCTGCGATATTTTCATCAACCATCGGGGGATCGATACGAAAAGAACCATTGCCGGGTTGCTGCACGACCATTTGTTCAGGCTGGGGCTAAGGCCTTTCCTCGATAGCATGAACATGAAGCCCGGCGACAAGCTGTTCGGAAAGATCGACCCGGCGATACGGAACTGTAAACTCGGCGTGGCGATCTTTTCGCCGAATTACTGCGACTCGTACTTTTGCCTGCACGAGCTCGCGTTGTTGATGGAGAGCAAGAAGAGGGTTATACCGATATTTTGCGACGTGAAGCCGTCTCAGCTTCAGGTTGTCGATTACGGGACTCACTCGCCTGAGCAACTGCAGAGGTTTAGTTTGGCTCTTGAGGAGGCTAAATACACCGTCGGACTTGCATTTGATACTTTAGAAGGGTATGCAATATAGCTTCTAATGCTCGTTTGAACTCGCTCGATGTTCGATAATCACATTAAATTCTAATTAAAATGAAAAAAAAGTTACAAGAAAATGCAATGACTCTTTCTTCTTTGGATATGCAGGGACTGGTCGAGTTTCTTGAACACTGCAACCGATGCTGTTATCAAGAACTTGGTGGAACTGGAAGCTCTGAAGTCAAGCAAAAACACTACATATATCGTGCAAGGTCGTCAACAAGAACCGCGACAACATTTTTAATGTTTTTTCATCAAAATTCAATCATTTTTTATGGCGACAACATCATCTCCAAATAAGTTGTAAAATTCTTTTGTTTTTTGATCTCCCGTAGATTTATTCAGAAAAACATATTAAAACACATTAGGAGATGGATGAATGTTCTTCTGTAATAAGATCATGGATTCAATAAAATTGCTAACTTTTTTTTTTAATAATCTTTTGTTCCTCATTTGAAGCTGTGCAGATTGGACAGGAAATTTCAATGATGAATCTGGGTTGATACCCAGAAATTTCCAGGAGATTTCCAAGTGTTGCTTTAAAACTTGAGTAAATTATGAATCAGAAGATTTTGTTTATATAATGTATGTAACTTTTATAGAGAGAGAAGGGAAGGAAAAATCAAAGCTCATTCTATCTTGGTCAAATTTGATTTCACAGAGTTTAATATTTTAAAAGGTAGCTTCTATCAGAAAATTTTCCATGTTGGAATGATGAGCTAATTTTTTTTTAAATCATATATTGGTGTCTTAACCTAAATAATTAACGATAATAATATCTATTTGAATCATATTATGTTAGATTAAAGTAAATGAACTCTATTTTAAATATAAGTATAATAGACTGACCAAGATTATATATATAATATGACCTTCTGATTTGACTGTCATGCAAAACTACCTAAACCTGATATGCATAAAATTAATCTTTCCAAAGTGAAAGTCAACCATCTATCACGCAAGCATGTTAGTTTGTTAACTAAATCCAATATAAAATTATAGTGAAATTAGTTTGCAATTAAGTTCTAGTAAATTTGCTTTTAGCTCAAGTTAGTTAAACATAGGATCTAATTTCATAAGGTCTTTGGCTTTTCTTTTTATAATCAATGACCAACATATGATTTTGTGTTAAGAATGTTATTTTTTTAAGGATTATATTAAGAAATTAAGAATATAAAATTAGATAATTAATAGAGAACATAATTATGAGTTTAAAATCTTAAGATGGTCCGTTCACCTCCCGACACCCCTCTTGATTCGTGGTTGCTATTCCCCCAGTGGTCTTTTCCGTTGGTTCCCATCTCTGTTTACAGCTGTGTGTATAGCAGCAGATTTGATGTGTCTTTGTAGTAGCATGTTTCTTAGGCAGTGTTTGCTTTCTCAGGAGCTTGTCCCTGGCTTCCTGTTCTTTTCACCTCATGGTTCACTCTTTTTCCTCCAAATAGGTTTAGGGAGATTTTTTAATGAGGTCCATGGGATGATGTACCTTGTATTTTTATTAATACAAAGTACTCATCTTACAAAAAAAAAAAGATATTGATCTTAAATTCTTAAATGTCTAAATTCGAGTTTAATCAAAATAATTCGACCCTACAAATAATAATGAAATTAAATATTTGAAACAAGTGAAGGAACATATGGATGTTTATTTCTCCCCTATTAAGTAACACATATACATTATTCTAAATTGACTAATGTAAATTGATGTCAACGTTGACAGAACATGTTTAGGGTTGACTTCCATGGTTGACAAAATGAGTGAAATTTAGGGTAAAACCTTGTCAATTCCTTCAACGCATGCAATTTAATTTCTAAGAAATGATGGGTACAGTTCCAGGGATTTGCCTCGCTGTTAGATTCCATTGTTTATTGCATAAAATGAAGGAAAAATCAAAGCACGTGCCCATTATTTTAACTTTCGAACTTGTTGCTGCTGACGCAATGACATGCAAACATATTATTAAAAAAAAACCAAAGTATAATAGTTAGTTAATAATTAAGTTATTGATCTCCTACCAACCACACATTAGTTTAATAGTAATGTTAATATTCTATAAATTTTGAGAAAATTTCATCGTGTATAAATATTATACAGATATTGTCATTTATGTTTTATCTTGATTTAAATTTTATTATAGGTGGACCGACCGTATTCGAATAAGATTATGTTTGTGTTCGTTTATTTTTTATTTAAAATATTTATATTTGATTTATGTTCGTTTATTTATTTTTAAAAGTGTTTAATTCGTTTAATATTTAGAGACATGTTTGTTTATATATTAGCTAATACGTACGTTTATATGTTTGCCAACGTATTAGTTTAGAGTTAGTTCACATATTTATTATTTACCTTCAATGGTGCATGAATGTGTGACATTGGTTACTCTACTGTCATTCTCATTTTCATTAAATAAACCAGGATTTCACAGGACTTCATCTTCAATACCCAAATTTTAAAACTGTTTACTTTTATAAAAAAGAAAATTTGACTTGCAATTTTCTTTGTTTTAGACTTTGAATGATTCCAACAGTTGTATACCCTTAAATCTGTTGTTCCAGTGTTGTTTCTTTTACGGTAATTAATTTTCTGGATTGAATATTGAATGCATTAATATCTGCATGCATGCTTAAACATGGATGAAAACACCCCATGAACTCTATACTTAACAAGATGCATGTGCACTTGTTTATGAATCAGTCTAACCAAGAAAATCTGGAAATAAAATTATACATCGATGCGAAGTTTAGAGAAAACATTTATATAATTCAGATGGAGATAATAATACAGTTTTCTCTCTTTATTCTCATATCTTATCCAGGCCCGGCCCTGAGGGTAAGCGAGGGGGGCGACCGCCTAGGGCCCAGGTTTGGAGTGGTCCATTCTTATGATATAACATGCCTCATAACATGTGTTTCACACACTTATGATTTACCATTTCAACGAGCTTATGATTTACCATGCTTGTTTCTGACATTTCAACGGGATTCAACAGAGGGGGCCCAGGTTAGGTGGCCCAAGTTATTTTCCAATTTTCATTGATTTTCCAATCTATTTTTGAATATGGCATGCTTCTGTCCGCTTCACACACTAAGGGCCCTTATATTTTATACCATGCTTGCACCCATTTTTTTAGGGGCTCTTATATTTTATTTTGCCTATGGCCCTTAAAATGTTAGGACCGGCCTTGATCTTATCCTTCTTGTTCTTTTTATTGTTTCGTTCTTTTTTTATTTCACAACACGTCATCGGTATAAATTTACTCAAAAAACTTTAATTAAAGGTCAAATATAATCTCTATCCAATTTAAGGTACGTATACTCTCCGAATTGTTAACATAGTATTGCATCAAGCGATAACCATTTTCTCCGACTCGAAATCTAAATAAAAAATAAATTTAAATCAAATAAATTAATTAAAGAAAAAAGACATTTTTTGAGTACCTAAATGAAAATATTACTAATTTAGAAAGAAAGCCGGGTCCTATGAACTGAGCCAGCGAGTAGACTTGTATAGTAAAGAGAAACACAGGCCCGAGTTCGCTAACCCAACTCAGCCCAATAAACAAATCGTCCCCACGAACCCAAATGCAGGAAACCTCTCTACCATGGGAAACAACCCGATGCAATGATAAACCGGCCCGGCAATAAAAGAGAAGAAAGGATTGCTGCAAGAGGACTCTTTTGAAACCCAGAATACCCTTTTTTTAATCATTTAGTAGCATTGTTTTCATATAAATACATTATCTTGGAGATTTCTTTTCTTTTCTAAATCCATCTAAGGTATTTTCTTTTCCTAGTTTCTGCAGGCTTAGGGGTTTTTATGTTTACTAATTGTACGGTGGAATTGGGAGATTGAAAAGTTGGAATATTTTTAATGTAAAAAATCTGGGGGTTTTTTTTGTAGGAATATATCTGAGAAGATTTGGTAAAATCAAATGGGAGTGAAGGCTGAGCACTGATGTCACTGTTCTGGATTGCGATTCGTCGACTAGCTGAAATCGAAGGAAGAATGGTATTTTTTTTCTCTTTTATTTTGTTAAGATCAGAGATGATTTAAGAATTTGAGTTTGTTATTTGTAGCTCAAAAGTTAATTTAAAGTTAGCCATGCCAATGTTTTATAGCTCAAAAGTCAATTCAAAAGTGTTTATGTTTTCTAATCTGTTCCCACCTATAGGCGACCTCGAAGAAAGTGATTACAAGGGAAGAATGGGAAAAGAGATTGAATGATGTTAAGATCAGGAAAGAAGACATGAATAAGTTGGTGATGAATTTCCTTGTTACAGAGGGTTATGTTGAAGCTGCCGAAAAATTCCGGATGGAATCCGGAACCGAGCGTATCCTACGAAGAAAAACAAATGCTTACTCTTGTGTGCTCTCTATTGTTAGTGTCCTTGAAAGTATATGTTTTATTTTCCTTATCATGGAACAGCAGATATTGATCTTGCAACCATCTCGGATCGCATGGCTGTTAAGAAAGCCGTACAATGTGGAAATGTCGAGGATGCTATTGAGAAAGTTAATGATTTGAACCCTGAGGTAGGATCTTGGATTACAATGTGATGATGTTAAACTATTCATTTACGTTCTCAAATGAATATGGGATCTGTTTTATATTATGGGTTTGTTGTATTTCTTGTTATAGCCGTAGCTAGATCGACCGTCATGAAATCTATTACTAGGATCTTGCTGTATTTCTAAAGAGAGTTGTTTACCTTAATTGTCTGCCATTCTTATGTTTAGCTATCTCGATTCGAAATGACTAATTCTGTATTTGGTGGTGATTAAGCAATTCTTGGAAATATTTCGTAAGGGTAGATGATTCGTGTCAGATATGAATATTCTTCCGATACCTGCTGCAGAAGGAAACCCTGGCATTCCGATCTTGTCAATCCAATTCGTAAATTCATTTCTTTGCAGATATTGGATACAAACCCGCAACTCTTTTTCCATCTCCAACAGCAGAGATTGATAGAATTGATTCGGAATGGAAGAATAGAAGAAGCCTTGGAGTTCGCTCAGGAGGAGCTTGCACCTAGGGGAGAAGAAAATGTAACTATGCTTCATTAGTGCACGAGAATTTCTTATGCATGCTTATTTTGCTAATACTTGGCCTGATAGAACAATTTTTATTCTTCAGCAAAGCTTTTTAGAAGAGCTGGAGAGGACTGTATCACTCCTGGCTTTTGAAGATGTTTCAAACTGCCCTGTTGGAGAGCTTCTGGACATATCACAGCGCCTTAAGACGGCAAGCGAGGTGAATGCAGCCATTCTTACTAGCCAGAGTCATGAAAAAGGTCTGTTTGCTGTCCTTTGTATTCGTTTTTTATTTACTTTGGGGAGCCAATGACTAATTCTTTGTATGATAGTAAACTAGTCTTTAAAGAGGTTTTGACCTTCATGCCCTGGACTCACAACATTGCTTTATCAAGTTACTTGATGCCAACCTTTTCTGGGCTACTGTATATTGCTCTTTTAGGTGTAAACTGCCAACATTAATGTAGCTACAACGTATTTGCCCTTCAAGTTATTAAGTTGAATACTGTGTCTAGTACGTATATTGTATACACGATGAGCTCATGGTAGTCCTTTCTGTGGTCTTGTGAGATCTATAAGCAACAACCATTGGATGTGCTTTGGTTAACAAAGTATTCAAGTCGATACTTGCATGTCCTCAGGTTGATTCAAATTTTGAGATTCCTTCTTGTGACTTCAAGAATTACTAAGATTTGCTTAACCTGCTTACTCGTTTACAGACCCGAAGCTTCCAAGCTTGCTAAAGATGCTGATCTGGGCTCAGAATCAACTGGATGAGAAAGCTGCTTATCCTCGCATAAAAGATTTATCGAACGCCACTTTCGAAGATCCTGCTGTTTGAAAAGTTTGAAAGACGCTATGGGAAAAAATCAAGTTGCTCGAGATTGATTAAAGACAGCTTGAACGGAATCAAATGATATATATGCTTGTAACGTCTTACTCTAGCTAGGAATTTGTTGGCTTGCCATTTGTTATGATGTATTGATGCTTATTTCCATTTTAGAATAATTTGCCTTTTGCAGTTGTACTATCTGTTTATCGAGTCCCAGTATCCGTATCGGATTTGAACATGTCACCGTGAAATGGGATTTAGAAACCTTAATCGCCAGTGTCTCCAGCCCCAAACCCAAAATTTTGAATGGTTATAGGCTTATAGCATAAAAAAAGCTGTAACCATGTGAACAACATTCAAGTATATTCAAGGTCATCGAGAACTACGGGGACAGACAACATGCCGATTCGATGAAATGTCTGAAAAAAATTCCATGAACAAGAAAATCCCTAGATTCGATCTCCCATTATTGTATTATACGTACATTACATGCTGAATTCCTAGTCGATGGTTATACACTCAACAATCCTCATTGTGTTTTACGCCAGTGCCATGGTTATTTTTGCCTATATCTAGCTCTGATGTTCTACATTAATCTTCCCGTTTAACATTTACACATAGCTTAGGAAACTCGCTCGAGCTCTATCTCCCTCCTGCACTAGTCCAATATGGGTTCGCGTGCTTCCGAGCCACGACTGGCGTTAACACCAAGGCCGTCATCCTCGCCTCAATTTGACTCGTCTCGCTATCGTGTTATCACAGCGATTTGTCCCAAGGAAGCAGGGCCTGATACTAATGTTTTTAATTGTATACAGTGTTACGACCCTTCTAACAATACTTGGAACCATGTCAGCTTCATTCCTGACCTACTCGAAAACCATGTCTTAAAAGATTTTGCCTTGGTTTCTCTGAGGGAGTCGATTTACATTATCGGCGGGAGGCTGTGGAACAAAAGGAAGCCTCGAAATTCGAGTGAATCCGATGTTGGTGTCAAAGTGTCGGCTTTGGTGCTTCAATATAACATTTTGTTAGACCAATGGTCGAAATGTGCACCGTTGAGGACACCACGGTACGATTTCGCATGTTGTGTTTGTAATAACAAAATATATGTGGCGGGGGGAAAGTCCAGTTTGCATAGTCCCCGAGGAATGTCGTCGGCCGAGGTCTACGATCCGGCTCATCGACAATGGACTCCGTTGCCAAGCATGAGCACCCTGAGATACAAATGTGTCGGCGTGACATGGCAAGGTAAAATCTACGTGGTGGGCGGTTTCGCCGAAAAAGGTTTTTCGGAGCCGAACATGCTGACGTTCTCTCCCCAACGTAGCTCCGCCGAGGTTTTTGACACACGGGCGGAGAAATGGGATATCGAGGCCGGGATGTGGCAATTGGACGTGCCGCCGAACCAAATCGTAGAGGTCGAAGGCAAGTTGTTCAGCTCCGGAGATTGCCTCATCCCTTGGAAAGGACACATTGAGGCCTACGAAGGGAAACTCAACATGTGGGATGAAGTCGACGGGTCTCGTTTTAATCCGCCGATCTCCACGATGGAACGAATTTACTTAACAATGGCACCCATTGGGACACAACTGTATTTCTTTGCAGGGTATAGAAAGGCTGAGGAACCGTCAAAAACACTTTCGATGGTTTATGTATTTGATACATCCGCCACCATTGATGCCTGGAAAAGCTTAGAGCCGATGGAGGAAGAAGGTGAGAAAGAGCTTTGCAGCCATTGCTGTGTCGTTCAACTCTGGTGAACGTGTCAACTACTCACCGATGTGATATTAAATGATTTTATTTACTTTTAATCTTTATCAAACACCTGGTTTCAATATCAAATTTCGACAAACTCAAGTATCTGACTTGTAATGTACAATAACCATAAATCACGCCAAACAAATCACCAAACAAGTCACGCCAAAAACTTTTTGGACCAAACTTATTCCTAGGCTCCAATGCAAGTTCTCTATGGCATAAGCGACTTTCTCCTAGGCCTACATGGGGTTTAGGCATACGAACATTAGGATCAAGTAGATGGTACACTCTCTCTTTAAGAGAAACACCCGAAGACAGTTCGAGACTTGAGGGGCTCGTATCACGCTCTTGACCGAAACATAAGATTGAACTCTAACTTTCGCTAGTCTCACAAAATCCTCCACCCAAAAGCTCTTACTGCCCGTAAAGACCATGAGATCATGTTATTGAGATAGCTACTACGTCAATTGTTGTTAATCACAACAGCAACTAAAATTGAAGTGAGTTTAAATTTCATTTACACCAATACAAATTTCGAAAATTTGGTGACTAAAATACAATACAAATATTCTAAAATTTTAAAAAATACCAATATAGTTTAACCTAATAACAATACAAGTATAGAGACTCGGTTTTTAATTTCAATATAACATAGAGATTAAAACCCAAACTAAATTTTAACATAATAAGTAGACTAAACTCATAATTAAACCCATAAAGAATAGTTTGTTTTATTCCCAAATTGGTTCTTCAAATCATCTATAATCCCACAAACCTTAAATCTAAACAAAATAAACTTAAATATATCAGAAAGCCCGATATTTAAAACGTGACAAATGAATTAAATTTGATTTCTAGGAGGGTGGACCATATGAAATGAATAAAGTTTTCCCAAAAAGGCCCAAATGGTCAAGATATTGTGGATGAAGCAAAGAATTTCAATTGCCAAAAAAATTAGAGAAACTTAGTCATATAGCCATAGGCCTGCAAAGCTCAAAAAGAGAGAAGCAAAGAGCCCAATCCCAAGTGGTCAAAAGGATTCAAAGAATGTCAAATGACCAAACAAAGCTTTTACTCCCCTCAAAAGAAGAGAAAGCAAAAGTGTGCCGGTAAAAGCACCTAAATGATCCTTTCACGCCAGCCCTTTGCTCTCCCAAGCAATATAGAAATAAATATAATGCATAATATATATTTTAAATTTTCTTAATTAATTAATAATAAACGTATATATTATATAGACACAGTTACTTTAATTTAATATCTCTAAAAAAATAACATTATCTTTTACAACCAAATTATAATGATCAAAATGCAAGTTCTGATATAATACATAGACAAATACACCAATTTTCCCCACACCATGGACCCATCCACCAGAACCTGACACAAAGATACCTCCCCCACCCCCTATCACACGTGCGATGCTACAATACACGCGTGAGAAACCTATTAACATTGTTTGACCCGTCTGAGATTGACCCTTGACCCCCCTACTGACACCAAATTCAACGGCCAACGTCCAAGACCACATGAAAAATCGACCTGAACCGTTGAAATAGGAAACAATCTCGAGAATTTTGGATGTCCCAGTGTTTGTAAGAGAACCTGCAACGGCCGACAAAAGAGGCCTGGTGTGTCGGATTTTTGCTTACGAGGAAGAAAAAAAGTGCGTGACAGGTTTCTTTGTTAGAAACTTTAAATTTATAATTACATTAAATTCGATTATATTTGAAATCGAATTAAATTAAATGTTTAAGTTTGAATTTAAGTAGAATTACATAGTTTAAAATTTAATTGTCAATTTTCTCTCCTAGATTTCACTTATAAGGAGTTCTATCTACTTTTCTTTTTGGATTTGTTGATCCACAATAATACCAATTTTACTCTTGGTTGTCGATCGTCTATATTTTTATTATCTTTTTATTTTTTCTTGTTTTTTTATTTTTAATAAGTTGTCTTTATGATACGTTTTCCTCTGTTTTTATGACACACTTTCTTATTTCTATTAGCATGTTTCTCGATCGTTTGGCAGTTGTTTTCATTTATTTTTTTCTAAGAGTTTATTAGACATAGTCACAACTGGTTAAGATATCGTTTATCTGTTATATTGTCGATATTTACTGTTTTGAACACTCGTATTGGATTTGGATACTCGTTATGCGTTTGTAGATAGTTTTTTCACGTAGTTCGAGTCTGATTTATAGTTTGTCATGGTCTTTCAGTAGCTTGATCTCTTTTTGTGGTTTGTTTGCCGATGCAATCAAATCTATTTGTATATATATTTGTTCAAGTTTTATTGGTTAGATTTTAATCTTTCCTTGTTGGTTCTTATGTGATCTTAAGTTGTTAGTTTTGTTTCAATATTTTTAGGAAAATGTCTTAATTATGTACTTAATTTATGATTATGATTGTAAATATTTATTATAATTTAAGATATTTTCTATTTTGAATAAAATTAGTGATTTCTTAAAAAATTAGAATTATATGATAGGTCTTCTTATTTGTTATAATGATATATATAAATTAAAGTAAATTGTAAATGTAATCATTCAACTTTTCTTTTATTTTTAATTTGGTCCTCAAATTTTAATTTTTTTGATTAATTCATTACTTTTGAATTACTTCTATTTTGATCATTCAAATATTACATTTTAAAAGAAATATATCCAGTCATAATATCATTAAGCATTTAATGAAAGACTGACCAAATTATGAGTGAATCAAAAGTTTAGTGACTAAATTATAAAATGTTTTAAAATTTAACGACCAAAATAGGATTAAGAAGAACGTTAAAGGATAAAATTTGTAATTTGCCCTATAAATTAAATTACTAATCAATTAACTAACCATTGTTAACACTTCTATTTTAAGGAGTATCTTTTTATTTCCCAATCTTGTTAAGCCACGTGGAATAGGAGGGTAAAGGTAACACGTGGGAGGATGGCAAATGTAGGGTTTTGATTTCCAAGTTTCAAAGATTTGTAGGGCACATATCCCAAACACGGTGCATGTGGAGTGTTTACACGAAAATTTGGGCTACCAAAATGGGGTCTCATGGGTCTATTAGGCTACCTATTTAGTGTGCGGCTGTTTCACCTACGGTGCATATGGTTTTGGCTAATGGCTAATGGCTAATGGCTAATGGCTAATGGCTAATGGCTAATGGCTAATGGCTAATGGCTAATGGCTAATGGCTAATGGCTAATGGCTAATGGCTTATGTTAACTTTGCATTTTTATAACATGGGACTAACCTATTTGCATCGTCTCGTCAAGGAAATTGATCGTTAAAAACGTGGAGAGTGAAACAAACATCATCTTTGAAAGCATCATACGTATAGGGACACCAATTGTCCCCGGTGCTTGCTTACTACTCCTACATCTACATTTTAAACTGCAGTTTCTGAACCTTTATTACATGAAGGCCCAACCAACCTATAACGGTTAATATTAACCAAAGTAATCTTTTTACTCTTGAGTTCCAGGTCAGCCTCCGTGTAAAAGATACCCCCCACAGCCACATGCTCCCCTCTTTTGCTCTCTCGCAAAGTACCACGAACTTAACCAGTTTAAGTACTCCAAGAAGCTTTGATAATGGTGTAAAAGAACCTCTCTCCGCTTCTCTCTCAAGAAGGTTAGCTAAGTGAAGAGAGTTGAGTAAAGAATAAAGAGCTTAAACTGTTTTCTTTTTCAGCTTGCTGTAGAAATGGCAAAAGAAGAAAGCCACTTCTTTAGTTGGCCACCGGTCGGAGCTCCATTGAATGTACAAAGAGAGGAAGAACATTGGAAACATTTTGACAACTATGTCAATGCCGTGTCTTTTGGCTTTGTTGCTACTGCCATTCTCATCTCCATGTTCTTAGTAATGGCCATCTTCGAACGCTTTCTTAGAACCAACGCTTCTTCTCCCCCTAACCATGGTGACCTTGAATCTCAACCCGGTTTCAATGGCAAGCTCAGCCACCCATCACCTAAAGTGAGTTACCCTTTTTGTTTCTCATCTGGGTTTTCTTCAATTTTGTTCAAAATTCTTTTGTTTTTGTTTGAAGTTGAATGTTTAACATGATTTATATCTGATCTGACACAAAGCTTCTCTCTGCACCATGCATTGTGCATACCAGTAAAGATCCTTCCTTTTGGCCTTAAATTTTGTTTGCTTTCTCAAGTATTATCTTCACATACTTTTCTTTAAGCAAAATAGATGTTTTTGGACATTTCCATTCCCCCCCTCGCGTCTTCCTGCAAGCTTTGATCTAAGCTCAATGTTAAAGCTTTCCCTCATTGTATAAAGTATCTCAGTTGCTTAAATGTTCTTCCTTTCATGCAATTGCCAAGATTGTATCTTTTAGTTAAAGATCAGTTTTTGGAACAGTCAATTGTCTGTTGTTGCATTTATGATATTCAGGCAATGGCCCCATCTATGAAGGGTCCCCTGAAGGCTGAAGTTCAATGGTTGGCTCCTTGAAGAGTATAACAAATATATATAGTTGTTTATGTTTAGACCCAACAGTTTACATGTTGGTCTCCCATTTTACCATTGCCGTGCCCTGATTGGGAACAAATGGTTAGTCCTTGTGGACAAGCTTCAGTCAGTTTTTCAACCCTTGGTGTCTAGTAGCCTAATGGGCCCAAACCATCTATGGAGTCTTCGGTCAAACTCTAGACCTTGTTTAAAGGGCATCGAGCTCCACATTGTTGTCTGCATTCTATACTTAACCCCTTGGATTCTGTGAATAAAGAGATTATGTGTGATGCACTTTCATTATGGGGGATGTTTTAGATGGAACTATCATAGTTCGGGTTAATTACTTACAAGGTATCCTATGAGAGGTCCCGCATTATGCTACAAATCCTTAGTCTACTTGATGTTTTTCGGTGGCTTTTAGTGCTTAGGATAGATCATACATTGCTTATTATTTGTTTAGACTTTTAGATGCAAGTTCAAAACCTTCTAAATTGTCCGGTATAGCAGACTTTGGTCATATTACAATGTCAACAAGATACACCATGTTCACACCCTGACATCTTTGAGACATGATATTGCAGATAGTGTTCTGAGTAGCACCTTTTGGGGGACATCAGGATTGATTAGTTGAGGGTTGGAATTTCACAAGATGCATACCACCGATATATCAACAAACAAGATTCATTCTTGTTGACATGACCGGCTTAATGCCAATTCCAGAAATGCATCCTATGCTATATTGTATAATAACATAACTAAGTTAAGAATAATAGATTAAGCAAAAGATTTGCAGCATGTTATAAAGTACCAATGAACATGAACTGTAAAGGTCTGCTTTAGTTTCCTTGTTGCTTAGTAGATTGCTCTCGTTTACAATCTTATATTCTTGTGTTTGATGCTGTCTGATGCAAATCGATTAGTGGTTCTAGCTTTGTCCACTTGTTCGTTTTTCTTGCCGGGACTACATATGGTTCATATAGCGTCAGCTAGGTGGGCTGTTGATCGGTTTGTGATTGTAAGGTAGTACTAGTAAGGTCCATGCTTCTTTAATAAAGTAAGCTTGTCTAGGAACTGTTTACTAGGTAGGGTCTTATTTGGTGGCCTTAACGGCTGTTTCTGCAATTACTACTGCCCTCATTTAGGTAAGAAAATTCCTATAAAGTTTCTTTACTTTGTGATTTCTGCAGATGACAGTATACACCAGCGGAGTTTCGGTGTTAATGCCGGGGGACGAGATTCCTACTTTCATCGCACACCGGGCTTCTGTTCCCTGTCCACCTGAACGCCATTCCTTGCCTCAACAGCAACACAATCCATTGAACAATCCTGCCTCAAACTCCGCCGTAACCATTAACGCAAGTCATTGAGAGAAAAAGAGAGCTTAACTCGACAAACCGCTTTCAACATGCGACTCCAAACTATGATTGCGATTATACCCTCCGGCGGAGAAAGTTTACTTGGATCAGAGTTGCCCTTTTTTGGCTTCTCTGCCATAGAATCTATATATATTGTGTACATGTATAGTTTTTGGTGGACTGCCTGCCCGGCTTTGGCAATTACTTGGAATTGCTGCATGCTGTCAATGCCCACCATTTCATGTTTACCATCACATTGATCGTTTATACATGTAAAAATGTGGTAATATTACATGATTACCATCACTTAGAATTACTATGAATGGTGATTAAATATGTATTTGCAGCTCTGTTGCATTAGAAACCTCCATTGACGTTCTAACACCAAATTCTTTTTCCAGGCCTCAGCCTGTCTATATGAATAAAGAATATATATTCTTAAATAATTATAGGTGAAGTAAAAAAAGGTACTTGATTTCTATATGAATATAATTTTATATTTAAAGTTAAAATTGCTTTGAAGACCCCCCCAACATTTAAATATTAATTTCGATACGATAAAATATAGAAAGAAAATTATTATTTTAATTATCTTTAAATATATAAGAAATAATTATATAATATTATTTTAGGTTATGTTGAGTTAGGTGAAATATTAGTCTTTATAAACACTAATTAAGGATTGATTAATTTATTATTTAAAACTATATATTTAGATCATTACTTATAATAAATTAAAAAAATATTATTTATATTGTTATTTATACGAATGCGGCATCGATTAGTATTTAAATATAACTATTATTAATAAAACCAATTAAATAAATGTGTGCATTTATTAAGTTCGTCTATAGAATTTGAATTGACTAAGAATTTATTTTTATATATATTTTATTTTTCATTAAGTCTAAATTTAAACCCCAAAAGATGACATAATTAGAGTTGTTAATAAACCAAGTGACAAGCTAACAACTTTAAAAGTCAGCTAATTTCTAAGTTTATTTAAGTCCACGTTTTATTAAGGGTTAATATTACATCAGATATCCTCAAACTATCATCTAGATTTAAATTAGTACCTAAACTTTATAATATTTTAATTTAATTTTTCAAATATTAAAAGTATATCATTCAAGTCATTACAATTAAATGTTAAACCAAATCCCAAAATTGAGTATATTTGGATAAATTTGTAATTTTACTCTTATCATATGGATAATTTATATCATTCAAGTCATTACAATTATTTTTTTAACGTTGAAAAGTTAATTGCACTAAATATTCTTAATCTATATTTAGTTTTTAAATTGATTCTTAAACTTCGAAATATTCTAATTTAACTATCAATATTATTTTAATTAAATTATGTTATAGATCTAATTATCTATGTAAGTATCAAATATAAACTCAAATCAAACATAAAACTTATTTAAAATATAAATCAAAATTTAAATAATTTTTATAAATATTGCATGCACAATTTAGATCTTACATTTAACGTCTGGCTAATGATGAATTTAAGGAAAGGAGAAAAGACAAGAAAGGCTACACCACGAGTCTCAGCACGCAGGGGACAACAGTGAACCGGGATAATTCACTACTGCGACAGCTAAAGGCTAAAGGGTATTTTGGTCAGAAAGAAAAACAGTAAAAAGTGGGTTCAATCATCAGGGTCTACACATATTATAGTTCTTTTATAGTCGCTCACAAATTATAGTTTTTTTTTTAAATTTAATTTCTTTTGAACTTTTCCATTTCTTTGTCATTTTATTTTATTTTTTAAGGTCGTTCACGATATCACCAGAATTTGATTCCGAGTTTTTCTTGGAATTCTTGGTGGATTTACTCTACCGGAAAAGTAAACAATTTACTTCTTTTAAGTTTCTGATTTTTCGCGTTTTTAGTTGAATCTTCGAGGAACAGTTTCGCGCGAAGTTCATTGCAATCTGCGGTTCCCGTTCCAGTTCCAGTTTCAGATTCCGATCTCGTTTTGGATTCAGTCGTGCCAAAATGGCGAAACGTGGATATAAGCTGCGTATCCTTAAGCTAAAATTCCCGTCGTTTTTGTTGTTATTGTTATTGAAATGCTTAGCTTGATTTAGCTTTCGTTTATTTAAGTTCTGAAGTGAATCGTTTTAGCTTATTTTGCATTTCTATGAATTTCAGCTTAAATTTGTTTCTTTTTTTAGATATTTTTATTTTGATTAAAATTTCCATGTTTGCTGCTTTGGCTTTAGCTGGGACAATAGAGGAAAAGAGAATAGAATTGAAGTAATTAATGTTGGCTATAATGAAAAAAATTTAAGCTTAAAGATTTGTTCATTAACAGAAAATGCTGGTATGAAGGTAATCTCAAGTTGAATTGGAAATGTTTGCTTCATTTGTCTAAAAATAAAACTTTGAAGGCTTTTTTTTTTATTTCCTTGACAAAATGAATGTAGAGGAATTTGTGGCTCATACAGGAAATGTGAATTGTCTAAATATGGGAAAAAAGACATGTAGGCTTCTTATTACGGGCGGAGATGATCATAAAGTTAATGTTTGGTCAATTGGAAAACCCTCTTCTCTAATGGTAAGTTTTCTATGCTTTCCCTCTTACTTTGATTCTTTCCAAGTTTAGCTTCGGATGCTATCTCTTACAGGCTAACAGTTTTTTGTTGCTTGAAATCACGTTTTGGATTAATAGATGCCAATAAGGGTGAGGCTTATCTCGAAAAATAATTAAGGGTATGGTAACATACATGTTAATGTGCAGAGTCTATGTGGTCATACTAGTCCGGTGGAATCTTTAGCTTTTGACTCGGCAGAAGTCTTGGTGCTTGCTGGATCGTCTACAGGTGGGATAAAGCTTTGGGATCTGGAAGAAACAAAGAGTGAGTCTTTGATTCCTCCTTAGGAAATGTTAATTGCCTTCTCTATCATTTAGAAGTCGAATGATAACAATGTCATGGGGGAGCTTGTTAAACCTAATGAACAATGTTGGATAGGATATTTCACAGCACCAACTCTTACTTTTGAACTTTCACTTGTTTAAAACTTGGAATGTCTGGATAGCCGGCTTTTATTCCAAACTGAAATTAAGTAAGAACCCACTTGTAAAATTCTTGATGTTGTTCTTGAAGTGTAGTGATTCGCGGGCTTACCGGACACAGATCTAATTGCACTGCCTTGGAATTCCATCCATTTGGTGAGTTCTTTGCATCTGGTTCCATGGACACAAATCTAAAGGTTTGGGATATCAGAAAGAAGGGATGCATTCATACGTACAAGGACCATACTGGAGGCATTAGTACGATTAGATTCACTCCTGATGGCCGCTGGGTAGTTTCTGGTGGATTCGATAATGTTGTAAAGGTAAATTGGGAATCATACCATTATCTATGTCAAACGAGTCTTTAATTCTATTTATCTAATGATTTCACATTTGTATCCTGTCACTACTTAAAAGGTTTGGGATCTAACTGCTGGAAAACTCTTGAATGAGTTTAAGTTTCATGAAGGCCATATTCGCACCATAGACTTTCATCCTCTTGAGTTTCTCTTAGCCACAGGTGAGTCTTTGACTTCAGTACAAATCAGTGGGTTTATTATAGATTCATTTGCCTTTATTCTGCATTGCGTGTTGATGCTGATCATAATAATGCTACATCACAATACAAGCATACACTATCGTATCAAAGTAGTAAAGTGAAAGTTGTTAAGCTTCGGATGTCGAATCCACAGAGAGCTAAAAGTTTACAGTAGAGTTGTGTAAAAGAATAATAGAAAAATAATTGTAATGAGTGAACAAAGAGTCAACAGCAAGATATGAAATCAGAATCATAAATGTCAGTAGTGCTACAACATTCAGGAGAGCAACAGATCAAGGATTTAATAGATATGGCTGCTATTTGGCCGTTTCTACCATGAATAAGCTTAAGACAGTGTATTCATGTGTCACAAGGATTAACAATATTCAATTAACAAGAATCAACCTTCATTAATTCACTTAATCAAATAGTTAAAAATGCTTAACGATGGGCAGAATATATTTCTATACACCAACGTTGCTTTTCACAATCACCAAAGCTGCACAAAAGTAGTATGAAAAATCCACAACTTTCATCTCTAAAATTTATAGAAATCACATACATGAAGACAACTTCATCTCATAAGTATGACAGAACATAAAACAAAGTTTAAACATAAAACAAAGTAAGAAACATTTAATCAAACACCTTATGTTCGAGAACCAAATATCATTCGAAATATAATAACATTCAATCAAGCAACCATCACTTCCCTATCTCTAAAAAAGGATGGAAAATAAAGTTGAATCCTCTTAATCGTCGTTGCTCCATGGCGTCGCTCCCTTGCTGCTGCTGCACTCCCTGGCAGTGGGTTTAGGCTTCCATGGAAGGTGGTAAATAGAAAAATAAAACGAGACTGGAAGAATTAGCGTTCCCAGAGATGAAGAAAACGATGTATTTATAACCTCATAGGGTCAAACTTTCTGCCAATATTAAAAGTTCCATTCTTTTCTAAATTTACTTTTATTTAAAATTCAAATTTCATCCTTATCTTCAGCAAATAAAATTCAAATTCCAGCCTTAGCTTCAGCAGCTAATAAAATTCAAATTCCAGTCTTATCTTCAGTAGCTATCCACTCCTAAAATCTCTCTAATTGTCTGGTGATGCGTCGAATGCTACAGCAATGGCCCAGTAATTCTGTCTCGTATCAGCTCACAGCAACACACCTACAGCATCAGATAAAGTCGAGGCATCAAAGTAGCAAATTCACATCAAAATCAGCCTAAGTATCAACAATTTTCTCCCAATATGCAAATGATGTAAAATATGCTAAAATTATTCTAAATGTGATCCTAAACATGCTACAGTACAAGCTTAAACTAAGTAAAAAGGCTCCAAATAATAACTCTTTTGGAGAGTTATCACGTGTCATTTCATGCTTGATGAAAATTGCTTTTTCAGGTTAAGGTGGGATAAACTTCCTTAACTTGCTGCAATGATCAAATCTTTTTCAGGAAGCTTTTAACTATTAGGTCGGGAAAATGACTTGGCTTTCCACGTCTCATGCATAAATTTTCTGTAAATATATTGAAAATTCAGACTTCAAATTTGTTTCTTTTATCATACTGTATGTGGAATTTGTAAATATTTTTTTTGGAATTGTTTACTATCTTGAAATCAATGTGTTATTGGGAGTATCATAATTGATGGGGACCAAAATTTTCAGGTTCAGCTGACAGAACAGTTAATTTCTGGGATTTAGAAACCTTTGAACTGATTGGATCTACGAGATCTGAGGTATATAAGCATAGTTCTCCCCAAGCTACAAGCGTAGAAGCTTGCTCTTCCTTCTTTGTCACAGTCCCCTCTGCCCAATATTCTTTTTTTACGTAAGAATGAGTCGTTTACTTTATTTATTAATTTGAGGGAGTAAGAAAAAGAAGTCATAGAATGGTTATGATTATTGATTTTCCTTTTCTCAAAATATATATATATATATATATATATATTATATATTCCCCCTATGCCCAACCTTCAATGCTGTGTAGAATGGTCGGAAAACCTATTCTATTACACCCTTCACTTAATGTTTGAACCTAATGTTTCTGCATTAGAGGCATATTGTGTGGTTACTTTTTCGTGATCTAGCTAACTTTCCAAGTATGAGAAACTTATTCTCTTACTTTCAAGGAAAAGAAAAAAGTAAAAAGAAAGTATCACTATTTATAATAAACCTTTTTCATTGTAATTTTATATGTTCATTCCTTTCAGGCCACTGGGCTTCGCTCAATTGCCTTTCATCCCGATGGGAGAACCTTATTCTGTGGAGCTGATGATGGTTTGAAGGTTTTACCTTCTGTTGTAAAACCAGTCTGATTCTATCTGAATTAAGCAAAAATCTGAATCTTTGTTGTCATAAGTGTAGGTTTATTCGTGGGAGCCAGTAGTTTTTCATGATTCTGTTGATATGGGATGGTCAACACTTGGCGACCTTTGCATCAATGAAAGCAAACTTTTGGGTTGCTCACACTATCGAAATACTGTTGGAATTTGGGCAGCAGATGTGGAGGTATTTACAATCATTCTTTTCTTACCTTGCATTCCCTTATGTTGGTTCAATTTTGAACTGCTGCCCTTTAGTTCTGAACCTGAGTGATAGATTAGTGGTCTTACCTACCTTCCTAAATGTTTTGTTTGCACATGTCTCAGCACATTGAGCCATACGGAAGAAATTACCAAACAGAGAAGAAATTTAGCCTTGAGAGAAGTTATTCTTCGGTGGAAGTGGGGAGTGTCATGAGGTCTACTTTGAGATCACGACCCTTCTCTCCTGATTGTGAGACAAAGGAAATAAAGAATATATATATTGACAGTAAGTTTGCTTTTCAGTTATTTTTATTATTTCAAAATCAACTGGTTATTCTACCTACTTTTACTTTGTTGGTATGGTCAATATCCACCATCTTTGTGATGTTTGATAGCAACCCTGATGACAAATGTGAAAGTAAATTTATTTTCGAAATATAAAATTTTTGTAAAAGTTCTGAATCTATATTTTCTTTGCCATGATGTTCCCACTTCTGTAAAAAGCTGCTGGCAGTAATCATATTGCCACACGGAAAGATGGCACTTTCAATTCACCAAAAAAAGTGTCACTCCCAGTGGATGCCTGTGAAAGAAGTAATCTGGAAACAGAGAAGCCGAGTCCAGGAACAGAAGTTAATGCTAAATCTAATGGACAATCGGGTAAAAAGTCTTTTACCACACCTAGTGTGGTTCCACGGGAGAATCCTATTGTTAAAGACTCGAACAATTCTGCAAAAGAACCCATCACCTTTTCAAGGACAAAACCAGGCATGCTGCTCAAACCAGCTCATGTTAGAAGACCATCTGTCAACAAGTTTAAGGTTGAAAAATTGTCAGTTACAGTTGAACCAGGAACTCTCAGCAGTATAAAAAGTGGGTTAGATAGTGAAAAGGATATGAATTCTCAAACTAGGCTTGTATCAGAAGATGGAGCTAGAAAATCCTGTGATGAAAAGGATTCAAACATCAAGAATGTTATAGAGAAATCTGAAAATGTGTCATCAACACTGTCACCCCCTAATCAAGAAACTTGTAAGTTATATTCTACACCATGCTATCATTTTTTTCCTCAAGTCGGTTATACTTATGGTCATACATTTGTTTTGTACTTAAGAAGTTCATGGTTTGTGATTAGTTTCTTCTTATTTTCAGGTGATGAATCCCCTACTTCCATCAAAGATTCAAACTCTGTCAAGATTGTCAGAGGAGGTGTGCTCTTACTTTCCTGTTAACTCCTCTAAATATAAAATTAGATGTATTTTGATCCTTATAAATTTCTGTCTTGGCAGTGGCTGTTGTTTCAGGTAGAACACGCACTCTGGTTGAGAAGTTCGAACGAAGAGAGAGATTAAACAGCAGTGATGATCCGGTAACTAATAGTACTCCTCCCATGGTACCTGAAACAGATGGAATACCGGCCATGAAGGTAAGTTAATTGTATTTTTTTTTCTTCTAGTTTTTTCAATCATTGCATGATCCAGATATTAGAAACCCCTTGAAACCAAGTTGGACAAGCTTAATGTGAATGTACTTTAATGTTTTTATGACCGAATTAAATTTAATTCTCATGTTTTCATCTAACAGAAAACTGAGACACAAATCTCCGAAACAAAATCAGTCTCTGCCAATGATGTCATCCAGAGCGGAAGTCAAATTTCTAGAATGGAATCAACTTCAAGTTGTGAGGAAAGTATTATTGATATTCAGATTTCTAGAGGGGAAGCAACTCCCGCTTCTGATAGGCTCGTTACAGGAGATCAAATTTCTAGAGGAGAATTAACCTTCACCCCTGATAGGATCATTACCGGAAATCAAACTTCTAGACAGGGATCAACCATTATCCCTGAGAGGATCATTATTGGAAACCAAATTTCTAGAAGGGAATCAAACTTGGCATCTAGTGACATCATTACTGGAAATCAATTTTCTAGAAGGGAGTCTAATTCGGCATCTAGTGGCGCCATTACTGGAAATCAACTTTCTAGATCAAAATCAACCTCTTCTTATAATGTGATCATTACTGGAAACCAAACCAGAAGGGAATCAGCTTCCATTGCAAGTGGGGTCATTTCTAGAAATCAACTTTCGAGAAGGGAAGCAACCTCTGCTAATGATAGAAGTGGACCAAATGGTACAATTACTGATAATCAGATTTCTAGGAGGGGATTAAATTCTGCTACTGATGAGAATGTTACTATTGTTGAAAGCCAAATTACAAAGGGCACATCATTCGCTTCTGATGATGGAAACATAACTGAGAGTATAATGCAAACTCATGATATATTCTTAAGCACTCTTAGGTCACGTTTGACAAAATTACAGGTAAACTTAGCTGTCGTTGGATATAATTGGTGGATGCGTTATAACTGATGTTAATGTATTAGATTTTTGAAAGATGTGAGGTTGTGCACAAACAATGGATTGTAGAATATTATATCATTATTATGGTTTCGAAATGTGGATTTGAATGTAAAAACCTGTGATGGGTGGCAAATATAAGTTTAGTGAAAGGAACAAGGGAAAAGGAATCTCATCATGTTTCAGTATTTTGTTTGCCTTACATGAATGTATGTATGTATGTATGTACAATTTCAATCTTTGATTTGATTCTGAATTTATTTTTTTGTGAACTATAGGTGGTGCGACACTTTTGGGAAAAGAATGACATTAAAGGTGCAGTTGGTGTCCTGCGGAAACTGCCAGATCATTCTGTGAGTATTTATGGGAATATTTCATGTGTTGATTTATTTTGTTCAGAATGATGGTTACAATTAGTAACTAAAAGCTTGTCATCCATATTCTCTCTTATACTCGGGTACTTCCGGTGCAGGTGCAAGCAGATGTAATCGGTGTTCTCATGGAAAAAATGGAGATTCTCACCTTAGATCTGTTTTCTGGCCTCCTTCCTGTGCTTATGGGCTTATTAGATAGTAAAACGGAAAGGTAATTTCACAACGAAGGTCTAGTTCTTGGTATTGTTAGTTATTGTACTCCACCCATTTCTCTCAAAACATAACTTTTCATCCCTTTAAAAATAAAATAATGGAGGTGGCATCAAGACGTATATCCCATTTGGGCATGTGGGTGCAAACGATTAAATAATCCGCATTCCTACTTTATGATGTTCATCCGATTTTTGCTTCTTGTGATGTAAATATACAGGCATGTAAATATCTCATTGGATATGCTCCTGAAGCTTGTAGCAGTCTTTGGTCCGATGATACGCTCAATTGTTTCAGCCCCACGTGTTGTTGGTGTTGATCTGCATGCTGAGCAAAGGTGCTATTATACCTATTTATGGATATATCTGCTTCTCAGTTTCTCATCTATTATGGATTCGTCGAAGTCACTATGAACTAATTGTTTTTGAAAATTTGAACACAGGAGAGATTGTTGCAATCAGTGTTTTATGCAGCTGCAGAAGATTCAGAGACTTCTCCCCCCACTCGTAAGGTTAGATGCTTGAGCGCTTTAGCAACGTATCCCATTTCTTAATCATGATAACTCGATATCCATATCATTCGAGTGATGAAACCTCGAGTCGCCTAATTGCTTTCTTGTTAAGTGAACAGCCAACATGAGCAAACTTCTTTCTGTGTTGCTACAGGAGAGGTGGCATGATAGCAAGATGTGCTCAAGAATTGATTCTAGTTCTTCAAGAATGACGATGAATGCTGCTGCCACGGCGCCATCTATAAGCCATCTGCTGGTGAACCATGAAAAAGAAAAGGTCGCTAGCTGAGACGCCACTTATAGAAGATTCAAGCTCCATAGAAGGCCAGTTCATATCTTTTATCTCTTGGATGCGCAATTTTGTCTCGCCACCTTACTATTTCACTCTCTGTCGGCTTTTTATCCAGTACTGGAATGGTAGCTTGACCAAGTATATCGTCTATTGCGATGCAATCGTTACATCTTGAAGACGGAGGAGCCAGGCAGCCAGCCTGTGAATCTCAATGTCTCCGGTACTCCACAAAACTTTTCTTTCCATTTTTTTTATATTCAGTATAGCGTTGTTCGTACTGTCATTTGTCAAAAATGAAGCATGTCCTGATGCAAATATATTTACTTTTCAGCTATAATATATTCAATGGAATATGTGAATTCCTGAAGCCCTCTTTCCTTTTATTTTTAAACTCTAGTCTTCCTAGATCTGTCCCATGTTATATAAAGTGAGTGGACATGTTTTAGGTGACTTAAAAACCTAACCTAAGAATAGCCAACATGGTTAGGAACCGCACTTCACCTTCCCCACCTTAGCCGTGAATATATATATTGGTAGTATCCAGTGTTTTGAAAACCGGACCGGACCGGCCGGTTCAACCGGAAACCGTTGTCTTGTCCAGTCCATTCTACTCCGGTTCAACCGGTTCTAGTGAACCGCAAGGAATCGTTCGAACCGGCTTTAAATCGCTTAAACCGGACCGAACCGTGAACCGGTTCAACCTAATTTTTTTTTTATTTTTTATTAAATGTTTTGGGTATTTTATTTATTTTTTAAATAATTATGATGTCGTCCGGTTCTTACGATCGGTCTGACCGGTTCGGCCGATTGAATCAATGAACCGGTAGAACAGTCGGTTCGCTGACCGGTCCGATTCTGAAAACCATGGTAGTATCCCTTTATATAATATACAAATTAAACAATTTTATACTCATTTAATATTACTATATAAATAAAGTTGATAGTTGAGTTTTTTTTCATATATGTTTTTTTATTTTTACTCTCAACCATCAATTTATATTTATCCAACTTTAAAAATAATTTAAAAACTACTTCAATTGTAATTTAAAAATACATGACGTAATTTAACTATATATTATTGGAATAAAGCATGTTTATAAAATAATCTAATAAGAATCTACCGTCCCAATGTGTTCTTCACGCAAATATTGCAATTTGTTTTATAGACCAATTGATTTTGACCCGAAATTTGCAAATTAGATGCGAAACATGTGCTATGAAACAGCGTGTGGCATGCACGATTGATTGGTGATTTCAACTATTTCTGCGCGTGTGTATCTTTAATTTGATTTATTGGTTAAATAAATTAATTGAATATTGTAAAAATCTTTTCAATTTAATTTACTTTATTATAAATCATATTTTAAATCAATAATCTTATTTAAGAGATCGAATCCCTAAAGATGAACACAAAACAAAAATAATTTTTAATCATCCAGTACAAAATAGTTCAATCGACTCGATCCACTCTAACGAGATCCCGTCCACCCCAAATATTTTTCTCATTTTAATTATAAAAAATAGAGAGATAAATAAAATATATCAGTAATTTTTTACTTTAAACATAATTTAATCTCGATTCTCTTACAAAGTTGACCTCATATTCGAATTGAAAAAATAACTTTAACAAATTTAAATGTTCTAATGATCCTTACTAAATTTTCATCTTGTTAAATATATATATGCATATATTACGATAGCGGTGACCAATTGAGATGGTGTTGTACTTAAATATTATTTTATGAAGACCACACATATAATTATATTCATTCACCAAATATTTATATAATAAAAATTAATGGAACAGGTTAGGTGATGCCAAAGCACATCTTCACCATTATCTTTAGAGAAAATAATCTCAGTGACCAAAAATCCCAGATAATATACGATTTTGATCAACTTTTTTTGGATTTGCGAAAATGACCAACAAAATCGCAATGCGATCTCTAATGCGCATTGCGATCTCCACTATCGTAAATTCGCATTGCATTTCGCGTTGCGATAATTGAAAATCGCGTTGCGATAGTTGAAAATCGCGTTGCGACATTTCGCCTTGCGATTTTCGAGTTAACGTTGCGATAGTCTACGGTTGTCGTTGCGATTTTTCAAATTCGTTGCGATAGTCTACAGTTGTTGTTGCGATTTTCCAAATTTGTTGCGAAAATCGCGTTGCGATTTTCCATTTCACGTTGCGATTTTTCAGTTCGCGTTGCGATAGTCTACAGTTGTCGTTGCGATAGTCTACAGTTATCGTTGTGATTTTCCAAATTCGTTGCGAAAATTCGTTGTAATAGTTAAAAAAAAAAAGATTTTGTTTCTTAAGAATTTTTTCTAAAAAGATAGTATCCGCGCGGACGTGTCGAAGACACGTATTACCACGACCACGACCCGAGACGAGACGAGACGGACGGCGGCGGCGCGCGAGAGTCTCCCTTGTTCTCTATCACTCAACAAGGAAGTGGAAAAGCCAAACCTTAAATACCATTCTCAATAGTGTTTCCAATACTATGTGGGATTGAGCATTACCAACACTTGTTTCCAATACAATGTGATTATTCAGGAAACAATTAACAATCATGCACCTTAAAACAACTGAATCAGCAACCAATTGCATTAGTATTATACGATTAAATATGTCATAATTAAAAGTCAATTTACAATCAATCGCGATTATTGCAATTTTAAGCAAAACATTCAAAAATAATATCACTATTTAAGGCTCAATCCCACATAGTATTGGAACAAGTGTTGGTAATGCTCAAATCTCACATAGTATTGGAAATACTATTGGAATGGTATTAAGGCTTGGCTTTCCCACTTCCTTGTTGAGTGATAGAGAACAAGGGGGACTCTCGCGCGCCGCCACCGCCGTCCGTCCGTCTCGTCTCGGGTCGTGTCGTGTCGTGGTCGTGGTAATACGTGTCTTCGACACGTCCGCGTGGATTCTATCTTTTTAGAGAAAATTCTTAAGAAACAAAATCTTTTTTTTAACTATCGCAACGAATTTAGAAAATCGCAACGACAACTGTAGACTTTCGCAACAACTGTAGACTATCGCAACGAATTTGGAAAATCGCAACGACATTGTAGACTATTGCAATGCGAAATGGAAAAAAAGTTGGTCAAAATCGTATATTATCTGGATTTTTGTCACTGAAGTTATTTCTCTTATCTTTATTCTTTTTAAAAAATAAATATATTTGGTCATGCTTCTACCTAATTGCCATTTTAGCTTGAGCATTATATACATAGTTTAATGTGTTATTAATATTCTTAATGATAACGCATGCACCAACATTATTTTCCACTAATAATACATTTGCAACACTATGATTAAGTATTTTTAATTGCTATATACATAAATACATAGACAGAATTAAAATATTAAATTCGTCCTCTCGATTTTTATCTAATGAAAAATTAATTTTTTTATATATTTAAATATTATATATTACATATTATCTTTTCAATTTTAAGTTTAATTTTTTTATTTTTAATTTTTTTCGATATTCAACGTTGACTCCAACCAAATTACATACCCGAAGAGCTTGATAAATAATTTGTGCTTGATGCGTGTTGTAAGGACCGGAAGTCTAATTATTATTAGGGTGTGTTTTATTTTATATCTTACTTCAAAACTTTATATTTTATTATAAATTTAGTAAGTGTATATATGTGTTTTTTTTTTTAAATTGTATTTTTAATCGGTTAACATATTATAATTATTATAATATCTATAATATAATAAATTACTTTAATATCATGAATCGTTACATAAATGTTATAATGATCTATTATTGTTTTTGTCTATGAAAACTTAATATTAGTATGAATTTATTAAGTAATCTTAATGATTAAAGTGAATATTATTCTCTCTATAAGTTTTAGGTTCGAGTTGTTACGTTTTATAAGATAATACTTTATTAATGATTAAAAATATTAAAATAATATTATCTTATAATTACTCTAAATTATTAAAAAAACATAATACTAATACTAACAATTAAAAGATATTATACTAATTTATGAAGTTGGAGAGTTAAATTTTTTAAGTAAAAGAAAAACAGGAAGAGATAGTAAAGTGAGACCCACGGCACCAATGAATGTTTCTCGTTGCAGCTGTTGCCATTACATGAAAAATACAAAGATAATTTTTAAAAACGATTCCTTTCCTGGTGTTTTTCCTTATAAAATCAAGGGAATGTGCGTATTCGGGAATCATCGGCGATTCATCTCTCGACAACTCATAAGCGCCCAAACCAAAACCCGAAAGCTTCAGTCCGCCATACCAAAGCTAACTGCTAAAGCAAAGGTTCCCCCCCCCCCCCCCAAAAAAAATCTCCCTTTTGCTCTTTCCAATGCTTTCCTTTGAAACAGTGGCGTAGCAGAGTTGCTTCCTCTGTTTTCGCTGATCCATTCAACTTGGTTTCATTGAATCAGTCGACCTTGTTATCCCAATCTTTTTATTCTTTCACTTTTACTCCTTTATAGCTTCAGCTTGGGTAAACCATTTCGTCTTCGTTTTTTAAATGGTGGGTGGATCAAGATCCGGTAATAGTTGATAATCATTCAGTTTGCTTTGTTTTCTTTTCTTTCTAAAAAATCGAAACTTTGCTGTTAAACTGTTGTTTTTTCCTCTTGATAATTTCATTTTGCTTTTAAATCTTAGCAAGGGGTTTAAATAGTAATACCCACTGCCTTAGATCTAACAGGTACTAAAACAAACTCTTTGTTGGTTCAAAGTTCTCTCTTTTCCCCTTTGTTCGTGCACAGATTCATATTTGTTACTGGGATTCTGTTATGTTCTCTTCTAGATTCTTGGGTGTTGGTCGAAATTTCTAAAGTTAGAATGGCAGCATAAAAACACTTCTTTACCCCTTGTCCATTTTGGGACGGCACATGCATGTGCACAAGCTTCAACTTGTTTAAGTTTTAAGCATAAATATTTATATTTTTTGCTTTGCATGATATTTCCTTGCAGTTGTTTTGAGGGTATTTGAAAAGCGTTGATTGCATGAGACATTTCAATCATGGAATGCACTTGTTAAGAAAAAAATGCTTTGTTTGAGGGGGTATGTTCTTTCTTTTACTTCAAGCTTAAGGCCTTGGAAGATGAAATTTCAGTAGCATTTTAGTTTTAAAGCTTCTAATCTTTGATGTTGTTGCAGGGAAATGTGGATTTAAATGAATCAGCTTCGATTTATGGGAGTTATTTGTACAGTTATGTTGTTCATTGTGTATAGAACCACAAATTATCAATACCTTAAGACAGAGGTATTGCAACTCCTATTTTTGTCTAGGTTTCAATGGTTTTGATTTAAATTTAGGACATAAATGGATTTGTTATTCCTGGCATTGTAGTGGTCAGTTGGGCTCTTCTGTTACCTTTTAGTCACTAGAATGGTTTATTTAAGCCATTGCACCTTCTGAGGGTTTGCTACAGCTGTTTT